GATACCGGTCCGAATATGTTCATTAACATATCCAGACCGATATCGGTCCGTATATTTTTGTGTTCAGACCGACACTATTCGGTCCGTATATGATCGGTCCGTATACGTCATTTTTCTAGTAGTGATTGTCTTCCACTTATGAATGCCATTTGTTGTTCCCCGACAACCCCCTCAATAACCTTCTTGCGTTGGTTGGCTAAAAGTTTTGCTAGAATTTTGTACATAACTCCAATAAGGGATATTGGTCTATAGTCCTCGATTCTCTGCGGGCTGTCTACTTTTGGAATGAGGACAATGAAAGAGGTGTTTAATCCCTTCACCAGCTTACTATTATCATGGAATTCATAAATGAATCCAGTCACCTCATCTTTTATAGTTTCCCACTCACTCTTGACAAATCTAAAATTGAAGCCATCAGGTCCTGGTGCTTTCAAAGAATCACAATCCCATACTGCTATCTTTATCTCCATTTCACTAAAGGGCGCAGTGAGTGAGATATTATCTTCCATGGAAATTTAATTAAAGTGCACCCCTTCTAGACTTGGCCTTTCCCGCCACTCTTCTATGAACATGTTCTCAAAGAATGAGGCAACCTCCTCTTTCATTATTCCAGATTCCTCTATTTGGACCCCTTTATTTGTAAGCTGTTCATTTCATTCCTCTTCCATCTACTCTTCACACAGTTATGGAAGAGTTTTGTGTTGGCATTCCCATTGACCAGCCATGCTTTCCTTGATTTCTGCTGCAACATGCTTTCCTTGTGCCTTATATCGTCCCATAGTGCTATGAAAGCCTCCTTTCTTCTCTTGATTTCCTCTAAGAGTTAGCCGTTTTCCCCTTTCATATTTGTCTGAGCAATTACTACTGTAGAATCGTTTATTCTTTTGTCAACTTCGAGGATAAGTTTTTGCTCCAGCTCCTTAATGCCTCCTTTGTCCTCTTTAGTTTTTCTTTTGAGTCGGAATCCTGCCCAACCATGAATATTTGTATTGCACCACACATCTTTAATCAACTCTTTGCACTCCTCATGCTCCAACCATACATCGAAGAATCTGAAAAGTTTAGGGCCCCAATCAACTTGTTGATGTCTAAGCAAAATTGGGCAGTGGTCAGAAACTGATCCACATAATCCCCACTGTCTTGCCTCACCCAACTTAGCTAACCATCCATTAGACAAAAGAACTCTATCAATCCTGCTCATGAATTTCCGTTGGACTGGTACCAAGTGAATTTCCTACCTATTAGTGGTAAATCATTTAATTCCAATTCTCGAATAAAGCTATCAAACTCTCTCATCTCAATTGTCAAGCTTCTACTCCTTACTTTTTCAACCACTTTTCTAATAGCATTGAAGTCACCTACAACACACTAATTACCACCTTTCCCTACTATCAACTTTTTTAGCTCCTCCCATAGGGCTCTTTTTCTAGGTAATTGGCATGGGGAATACACATTGACAATGTTCACTAGAATTTCCTCAGTGCCCCACACCCCTTTAATACCAATAAAGTTTTCACCTTCCATAATGTGGGTTTTTCTAAGAGATTTAGAATTCCATACACACAACAAGCCACCAGACATTCCCGATGAATCCTTAGCAACCCAGTCGAATTCTTTTGATCCTCACACTAAATTACAAATTTTTCTATTGGTCACCCCCATTTTTGTTTCTTGGATAGCTAAAAAATCCAGTCTTTCTTTCTTCATTAGATCTCTAATATGTCTTTTCTTCCCAGCACTTCCCAGCCCTCTAATATTATAAGACAGGATATTCATTGAGTTGCTTTACTAACCTTCTGTATTGTGCATGCTCCCTTTGGGATCTCCGCTTCCTTAGCTTTTTTGTCTCTGGCCTCCATCTCAAGTTTCTTGATGACCCCTTCCTCGTCCTTTGCCACCACGCCTAAATTTTTTGCAAAATTCCACAAATCCCCTACAATTTTCTTGTTAGGATGCTCCTTCAATAACCTATTACAGTTTTCTATGCCACTGTCACCCACTGAACCTCCAGCCACCAAGTTGCTCGTGCTTGGCAGGAACTCTGGAATTCTTTTTCTTTCTACTTGGCTCCACTTGGGTTTACCTCTTCCCTTCTTCTGGTTCAACAATCCTAGGAGTGTTGCTCTTTTGTACATTGAGCTGCACGTTTTTGTCCTCTTTCTCTTGCTTTTCTTTTCTGATTTGTTGTTGTCACCCATTTGTTCCTTCCTGTTACCACTATCGCTCCCCTGCTCTGTCTCGGATGGGCTATTGTTTTGGTGACTTCCTTTCTCCTGTTGTCCCGATGCTTCTTGTTGATCTAAGCTGGGCCTAACATTATTTCTCCTTTGATCTCTTACAATTGGGTCATTGGCCCATTCGGCCCTCTTCATTTCTACATTTATCCTGCGTATTTGGCTCAATCCTTTTTTTGTAGGTTCCTCCTGTAGGCCCAATCCACTTCCTCTCATACTTTCTAAAGTATCTGTGCTCCTCTGGTATTTGGTTTTTGAATTAGATTCACTTGTCTCAATATCATCACTGTCACTTTCGTTGTCTACTTCTTTCTCCACATTAATGATATCTGCCACAACTTCTGATGCACTAAAATCACCCTAGCAAGTGTATTAGTCGCTCCAAGTAATATAATGATTAATAGAGTGTCGAACCCACGAGGATTGTGGCTAATTAAGTACCAAAATAATTAATCTAAATTTATTTGAACAATCAAATAGGGAGAAACTTTAATTGAAAATAATAAAAAGAAAATAACAAATAAATCTAATCAAGATAGGAGGTACTAAGGCATTGATTTCACCATAATCAATCAATATAAATTCTGGATTAATATACTTTTAAAACTAATTTATTGAGTGTTATTGCATGTGATGGCGGATTTCCCTAAATTAAGTAACTAGCTTTCTCAAGTCAAGTTAATCCTTCACTTGTTTGTTAAATTAATCATATTTCTATATAATTTTAAACAAACTTATGAGTATTAAATTCTATGGAAACCTCTAGCTTAAAAAGGGGGAGCTCCTAACTCTCTTCTCTTCCTCCACTACCACATGTGAGCTAATTACCTCTCGGTCTCATAGTCTAGCACACGGTTTATATTATTATTGGTCTAATCTACGCAATTCTTTCTCAAGTTCATGCATAAATCACTAAATCAATTGAAAGGTGATCAGACTTCCAATGCATTAAGTTCAATAATATAAACTCTTCATGCGAATAACTTTAATTGAAAGTATAAAATCACAAAATCTATATTGAATTGATTAGGCTACATCATAGCCTTAATAAAATAAATTAGTTTATAATAAAAATAATAAAATCTGAAATCACAGTTATAAACATAAGAATGTCTAAGGAAAAACAAAACCTAATTTGAGGTAATTGAAATCCTTGATCTTCTCCTTGATAGATCCTCTATCTTGACCTCTAAGAGTACCCAAAAGAGGGCTGACACCAGCCTCCACAAAGCTCTTTATGATTCTGAATTTGGATGAGTATTTATAGGATTTTAGAAACCCTAATTGAAATACAAGTAGGACTTAGAACAGAAATAGGAAACTGAATTTTGGATGCTGATCACGTGGTGCTGATACTTCGGATTACGTGTTGGCACAAAATAGGAAACAGAATCTGATTCTGTACGTTTAACGCATGGTGTCGCCACCCCGATCATGTGTCGACACTACACCCGTGTCGGGTTTCTGGTCTCCTTTTGCAATTTCTTCAATGGTAAAATAACAAATTTGGTTCGTGACTTCTGGATTCTGCACAAGTTAATCCTCAAGTCTCTGATCTCTTCAATTTACTTCTAAAAAGTAGGATTTCTTCCAATTAAATCCTTTCCTACACAAAGAATGAAAACCATGTAAAATCAAACAAAATCCCATAAAACTCATCCAAATATCAACAATATCAAAGTGAAAATTCCCTATTAATATGTATGTAAATTTAGCTCATCAACTTCTATAGAGTCTTCCTCTACAAGCAGTTTATGAGAAAGCCTATCTATTCTGTTGTCTTGTCCCGCCTTAAATCTCGCCCTTTGTGATTCAAATTCTGCCTCGTAATCTGAGATGGCAGTTGGCATGTTGTCCTTTCTCCCTTGCTCCAATTTGTCTCCATCGTTTTCATCATCTTCGGCAGCGAGCTTCAAGAACTCATCTTCGTTGTTGCCTTCCGTTCCTTCATCATAATCATTACCACTTAACCATGTTTCTTCATTATCTAACTCATTGTCAAAGTTAGGTAAGAAGTCATATCTCAATGAAAACAAGCTATTGTTCATTTCCTCCTCCAAAAACTTTAAATTGAACATGTCTTCGTTTACTTTAATCTGACGTTTGACTGTAATTGTGTCCATTATGGAGGTGGAAATAAGAAATCTAGCTATGTCAAATCATCTTTTTTTGCTGATGCTATCATCCAAACAGATAAACTTTCCCCAAGCAGATGCCATGGACTCAAAAAAATCAGGACCCCAAGCATGCAGTGGGCCACCTTGGCGCCTAATCCACACGAACCTTTCTTTTGCTACCAAAGATGGTGACCAGGGTTTGATCTCTGAGAACCATTGTCCCAGCCAGTTTGGAGCACACTGCACTAAGTCTTTCATTTCTGCTTTGTCTTCACAATCCATAAGCACCAATTTTTCCCCATAGCCCGAAGTCGGCAAGAGAAGTAGCCCTCCATATAGAATTTCTCTTGGAGATTTGGGACAATTTCTACTAAGCGAGCAGTCCCTACGTAGCATCCTTGTAGCCATTAATAATCTTCCTCTTTGACATTATACTCAATACCCGCCCATTCTGCCTCTCTGTTTTTTATTTTCCAAGCCTGTCGATGATCCGATTGCTTGAGCTCCTCTCCAATTTTGTACCTTCCCAACACATGCTCTGTCTTCACGTTTAAAGATTGGCCCTCTGTTTTTCGTGGTCTAGATCCCTCATACCCTCTAACTGCATCAGCATAGGACTTCCCCTGAGCTATAGAGTTTTCTGTAACTCCTGTTCTTTTCTCCCTTATTCCAGTCTCCTCCTCTAGATATTTAGCTAAATTAACCCAGATCTTACGCCCTCGATTCGAATCTGGTCTAGCTTCCTTTCAAGTTCCCTTTCATTCTTTACATCCAAGAATCTAACGAAACCAAACCTGCTCCCATTCCTACTTCTTCTAAGTGGGCTGTAAATCGCAAACACCCTTCCAAACTGCTTAAAAGTTGTCCATATATCTAAGTAACTCCGGCCATCAGGGATATTTGTGAAGAAAAAAGTTGAGGCCTGTTTGTATAATCCCTTATTATACCCCCAATCCTTGTGAGTCTTTTGCTATCTGCCCAGTCCTCTCTGTCCAATGTCCGCCATCCACCTTTGCCGACTTCGCTGTCGGAGTCCTACATCCTCTCTATCCAATGCTATCTAGCCTGTCCTTGATCGGTGCTTGTTACTTGAACCTCTCACTCTCTCTCTACCTCTCTCTCTCATGACTAATTATTATTACTCCTAATTATTTTGTTCTTAGTGAAATTTGTCATATTTCACAGCCCTAATTCAAATCCCTCAAATCACAATCACTTTCCAAGTTTAATAGAGTACTACAATAGATTGTGTTGTGCAACTGAGAATGATTGGATTGACCAAAAAGAAGAAAATTTTTTACCAATAGTTTGCTTCTTTTTTGTCTGGTCCTTTTCTGACTTAGTTTCCTACGTCTTTTTCATAATACGTACCCATGGAAAGTATAAAAGAGAACAAAAAAATATTTATTTCTTTTAAAATTTTTAAGATGGATTTGACATTATTGACGATAAAGCAGAAGAGAAGCATAATTTCCTATTTATGTCTATAAAATTTTAGAAACGAAATGAATACAAACAGACAATTCTACATGCAACTTACATCGACCCAAGGCGAACTTTGCAGAAACCGGTGGCCAAAAACCATA